CCCGGTGTTAGCTCCATGGATTCACAAGGCCTAGACTTGAACCTGATTGCCTAGCCAACCAGCTCCCTGCCCTTGAAGCTTAACGTCCTGAGCTGCTGCTTCCCCATTTGTGAATTAAGGCTGGTATGTGGCCCTCAGAGGGATGTCGTGTGGGTTAGATGTGAAGGCACTGCAGGGCCACAGCAGGTCACAGATGGCACAGTCCAGCGGGGTGATTGGAGAAGAGTTTCAGAAAGGGGCTATTTATAAAGACTCAGGCAGGGTGTAAGGGACCCCGAGGACATCTCAGTGCCCCAACGCTGGAACAGGAGTGCGGGGAGACAGTGGTTATAAAAACCAGAGTAGAGAGGACTTGGGGAAATTGCCGCCTCTCAGGGTTGGCCCCGACGGAGAGACCAGAGGAAATGATGCTGTAGCCTCTCTCTTCCCTCCTGCCCCTCGCCCCCCCAGCCTCTGGCCACGGTTCCCCGATAGGCCTGATCTAAGGAGGAACCGGAGGGAAGGGAAGCCCACTGACCGAAGCCCCATAGCCCAGCTCCCAGTTCATGGCACAGGGTGGAAAAGGGTGCAGGATGAATCTGGAGGGCAGATGGAAGATTCCAGCACAGCCCCTGGCACACAGTAGGCATCCATGTGTTTTTTTTGTTGTTGTTTTTTTAATGCTTTATTTATTTCTAGGAGAGAGAGAGAGAGACAGCGTGAGCAGGGGAGGGTCAGAGAGAGAGGGAGTCACAGACTCTGAAACAGGCTCCAGGCTCTGAGCTGGCAGTCAGCATAGAGCCCGACGCGGGTCTCGAACCCACGAACCGCGAGGTCATGACCTAAGCGAAAGTCGGACGCTTAACCGACTAAGCCACCCAGGCGCCCCGACATCCATGTGTTTTTAAAGTATTCTCATTTCAAATAATGACATGTTGAACACAGAGAGAATACCCATTGTGCCCACCATCCATATTTAACAGAAATTAACATTTTTATATATTTTTTAAAGTAAAATAGTAAAATAGCATTGCAGATAGTGCAGAAGTCCCTCTTAACCTGTCCTTCTCTTCCCCATGGAGGTATTTACTCTCCCGAGACTACTTTGTGTTATTCCTGTGCAGGCTTTTTATATTAGACCATTGTTGGGTATATCTTACAATGTTTACCAAAATGGCATCATGCCTCAGTGTAAGCATCCTTTTGCACCTTGCACTTTCCACTGAGCATGTTTCTAGGATATAATCTGTATCGACACCTCTAAATCCAGTTTCTTCACTGTTTTCTGCCCTGTAGAATTTGTTGGGTGAATAGACCACAGCTCATTTGTCCATTTCCCTCTGAGGGGCATATAGATCTGTGTCCACCTTTTTGCTGCTGCCACAGTGCTACACGGAGCAGCCTTATAAATGTGTCTCCTTGTGCCTATAACACATGCGCGAGTTTCCTGAGGGTAGATCCTGGAATTGCAATCGCCTGGTCACAGAGGCATAGCATCTTCACCTTTACCCACCACTGCTAATTGCTTTCCAAATATTTGGCACCCTGAGAGCCCCTTCTTCCACAACCTAGCCAACACTTGACGTTGTTGGGCTAATTTATTTTTGACAACCTAATAAGGGAAAAATGTTTTTTCTCACTGTTACTGTACAGTCTCCATTTCTTTTCTCACTGGTGAGGTTAAGCATCTCTCCTTGTGGTTATTGGTCACGCAGCGTTTTCCTCTTTTGTGAATTTCCCATTTGTGTTCTTCACCCATTTCCTCTGTATGGTTTGTCTCTTTCTTACTGATACTTGAAGCTCGTTACCTATCTCAGCACAAATCCTTTGCTGGGGGTGTGGGTGACATGATCCCTCCTCCCAGAGTACACTTGCTTTTCAACACTGATTTTGCTGACTTTTATTTGTTTTGGTGCAAAAATTATGTTTAATTTTTACGTAATCAATTTTTTTTTTTTGTACTTTAGGGCTTATGCTTTTTGTTTCTTTCTCCAAGCTCATCAAGATCATCTCTTATGTTTTTTCCCAGTAGCTTCACATTTTTACTTTTCCCATTCATGAATCCACTTGTGTGACAGAGGGTGGGAGGACCCCAATTCCATCCTTTTCCCCACGGCCCGATGGTTCTAGTGCCATGTACTGAAGAGACCCTCGCTGCCCCCCTGACCCACCATCATGAAGCGAGGCCGGGCTCTCCCTGCTGATTTACCGAACTGTTTCTCCATGCCTGCCCCAACACCAGACTAGGGGCATTCCTACCATTTTGTGTTTCATTCCGATATCTGGTAGGGCCAGGCCTGTACTGCCCTCCTTAACAACTGTCCAGGCTACTTCACCCCTTCATTCCTCCATCCGGGCTTTAAAGATCAGCTTAAATTCAGGAAGCACTGAACACCACACCCCTGGCAGTTTCAAGCACGGAATTGATGTGCCCAGCTTTTCATTTTTTCAAACACTCACGAAGTTGTATGGGGGATGGATTTCAGAGGAGCCATCAGGAGGTAGAAGAAGGTAGTGTGGGGACCCAGCCCAGGTGGTGACATGAGAGATGGGTGCAGAGGGGATTTACGGAATCTAGGGGCCTCGGTGATTGTGTATGGCAAGCAAAGAGGAGGTAAGAAGAGGAGAGGGGCGTCCCGATGTCTCAGTCGGTTAAGTGTCCAACTTCGGCTCAGGTCACAATGTCACCGTTCATGAGTTCAAGCCCCACGTGGGGCTCTGTGCTGACAACTCAGAGCCTGGAGCCTGCTTCAGATTCTGTGTCTCCCTCTCTCCCTTCCCCGTGCTCGTGCTCTCTCTCTCTGTCCCAAAAATAAATAAACATTAAAAATTTTTTAAAGAAGAGGAGAGGCCAGTCACAGTCCGGGAGAAGCCAAGATGACCCGACACTCCAGTCCAGATGACTCAGTGTCCACGGTCAGAAATACAGGAGGAGGTTCCAGGTCTGACCCTCACCGAGAGGAACTCCGGGTATCTTAGGAACGCTCAGACAGACACATCCTGGGTGTATTTATCTCAGGTTCAGAAAAGAGGGCTGTGGGACAAATTTAAGAGCCATCAGCCTATCTGGAGAGTTAACACCAAACCAAAACCAGAGCCAAAGAGGGAAGCCTGTGTAGAAAACACCAACATGAGCACCAGCTGGAGGGTAAGGAGCCCACAGAGGAGGCACAGTGATTGATGTGCGGAAGAGGCATGGGGAGAGGCGGGAGTGAGACAGCACGGACACCCAAGACGTACAGCGTTTCCAGAAGGAGTGGCCACGAGCACCAGATTCCACAGGCTGTGGGGAGAAGGGATGGAGGCAGAGCCAGAGCTACGAGGAACAGTCCTCTGAGGACATGCGACTGGCCAGGAGGAACATGGGGCCGAGGCACCTTATTCCACAGAAAATGGGAGGCGACAATGTGTTTAAAGGTTGGGGAAGGGGCCAGAAAGAGAAGGGGAGGTGATGGTGTGAATTCTCAGAGGCAGGACTGGGGAGGAGGGGCGTGTCTGAGCCCCAGGCCCGGCAGGAAGGCACGTGTGGGTGGGACACATGTGGCACTTGCAAGGCTGGAGCTGGCAGCCACGATTTCTCGTGGAGGTGGAGAGTGGCGTCGCTCGAAAGGGAGGGGGCTTAAGGAGAGAGGGGTTGGTGGTGTGGCGCGGGGGTCTGAGGGAGGAGGTGTGTGTGCAGGGTTGGGGTCTGGAGGGGAGTTAGGAGTGAGAACCCAACAGCTGGGAGCCAGAAGCCGGCGCTCCAGGTGGTGTGAGTTCCTGCCTCATGAACCTTCCAGAGGGGCCAGAGGGACCTAGACTTCCTGCAGCGACAGGCTGGGAACAGGGCTCGTTATTTCAGACTTTAAAATGAGCATGAGCCAAGCATGCTGGAGAACAGGGAGCCCTTCGGCCCCTAGTGCATCTATGGCATCGTGGGCTAGAGGGTGTGAAGGCTGCGGTGGACCTCGGGCCTCACGGGCCCTCCAGAAAAGTTCCCCCACATGTGTGTTTGGTATGGCTGAGCTCCTTTGTGCAAGTCCTGGCTCCTATCTGGTGTTTGTCCCAGGTAACTAAGGCTAGGCTAGCACCTGGGGTCACCTCCCTTAAAGATGTCCCTTCCCAAGCCACAAACGAAAGAGGACAATAGTGGTCGGGGCCATGCCCCTCAAAATACAGCCCCGGACATGGCCATGTGAAGGGTTCTGCCTTAGTCTCTGCATCTGGCGCTCAATGTGGTTTGTGGCCCTAGCCTCCCGGCTCTCATGACCTCCCAGTGACCACTGTGACCCCGTTAATAGGGCTGAGAAGGACATGGTAATAATTGTCAGAATAAAGCAAGTAGAAGCGCCATCTGTGAAATTCCATGTACGTGACCTCAAGACCTCCCGGCCACCTGCAAGGTGAGCTGAGTTAGTCCCACTTTTCAGATGAGGAGACCGAGGCTTAGGGAACAAGTTAAGTGACCTGTCCAAGGTCAGCAGGCAGTAACTGATAGGCCTGGGTCTCAACCCCTGCCTCCCTAGCCCTGTCTCGGTAAATCCACTGCCTCCTCTCAGAAGCCCTCCATCCCTTTCTCTTGAGTGAGCAGGCAGAGAACAGAAAGTGGCTGTAGGGACACAGTGCTAGGTCACTGGACTTAGACTCCAAAGACATACTGTGAAGTCCCAGTTCTGTCACCCAGCTGGGTGGCCCTGGATAAGTGTTGCCGTGGGGAAGCCAGGCCACGCTGCCTGTCCCCACACCCACCCCCTCACCTGCCCCCTCATCTCCATCCGCATATTCTTCCCTGTGTCAGCCGGTGCCATTGCCCGGTCACAGGGCACCATGCATAGTAGGACACTGGCCATCTTGACAGTCTGTTCAGAGGCTCGTTACACTGCCAGTGAGGGGTCCGTGTCTCCTGCGTAGAAAGCCACGAGGCTCGTGTCAACCTGGCCCCACCTACAACAGCGGGCCAGGTGCCTTACCCTGCCGGGGGCCACCTCCCCAGAGGCTCCCAGCCCCCCGCCCCCATCCCCCTCTCTCTGATCTGTTCACAGGCCCCTCCACTGGCGCCAGTTCCGCGAGGTTCAGCCGGCGGCCCACCTGTCCCGACGCGTCTGTTGCCGGCAGCCTGCCCACACCCCCTGTCCCGAGACACCGGAAGAGCCACAGCCTGGGAAACAAGTGGGTGACCGAGTGACCCCCGTGGGCCCCGGGGCTGCGGGGACTGCTTGCCTCCCGGGGACCTCCCTTGTGCATCTGATGTGTGCTCCTGCTGCCCCTGGCTGGTGGCCTCCCCTTAGGCCAGCTCGGGCTCAGGGGGGCCGGGGAGGGCAGGGGAGCAGTCCCTGCGACGGGGACCCCTGGCTGGGGAGCCGATGGAGGAGGCGTACGGGGAAGCGGGGGGCAGCAGTGGCTGGGTTCCAGAAGGTTTGCCAAGCTCGGTTAGTGCCTCCCTTGTGGAAAGCTCCAGAGCCCAGTGGACACCATGCCTGTCATCCGGGGCATCACGTTGGGCCAGAGTCTCTGCTTGCCAAGTGCTTCAGAAAGCCTGCAGAGCCATGAGCCTGCCACCGCTTCACCCAGCCTTGTGGGGCCGCAGCTCGGGGACAGGGTGTTGGACACAGGCCCTCCAACAGTTGGATCCCTCCTCCCTCCCTCCCTCCCTCCTTTCCTTCCACCGCTGAAACACAGACCTCAGCCAGCGCAGGCTGGCCCTGGAGCCGCTCACAGGCTGGAGGGGAAGGGTGTTGCCACCTGAGGGTTTAGAGCTTGCTCTGGGTTAGGTACTCCGCTCCGCGCCTGTCAGCCATTATGTCACCGAGCCCCCGCGGGCCTCCGGGGTAGGGGCTGTATTATGTACATTGTAAGATGGGTCCTATGAGGTTCAATGGGGTGAAGCACCTTGCAATGGGGAGTAAGGTTGGAACAAGGGTTTGGACCAGACGTGTGACTCCAGAACCAGGCATGCTGCCCACAGGGTCACGCCGTCCCTTCACTTGTGTGGCTCCATCGTTCACAAGCGCGACCCACTCACATGAGCCTTGTGATCATCCTAGAGTCAGGCAGGACAAACAGCCACAGTCCCCATCTGACAGGTGGACAAACTGAGGCTCAGAGAAAGGATGTGACTTGCCCAAGGTCACACCATGAGATAGGGCCGAGCCTGGCCTGGTACCGTGGTTCTGGGTGGACGCCTTTTTCCTCCGGCTGCACCATGTGCTCGGCACCCCAGGGCAGGCGAACTCACTGTGACTCCGCAGATAAGGAGCTCTGCCTTCTTTCTTCCTTTCCGTTTTCCAGTATGATGTGTCAGTTGAGTGTAGTTGAGAGTAAAAGTGCGACATTCCCATCGGAGAAAGCGAGGCACCTGCTGGACGACAGTGTCCTAGAGTCTCGCAGCCCCCGCAGGGGCCTCGCCCTCACCTCCTCCTCTGCCGTCACCAATGGACTCTCCCTAGGTAAGCGTCTCCGGCCTGCACACGACAGCGGGCGGGCCTCAGTGCCGTGTGTGCTCCGTGTCTGTCTCTGTCACTGTGCAGCGCCCGGTGGCCCCTCACCCTCTGCAGAAAGGGCTCCCCCACAGGAGGAAGTTTGCTTCCCGTTCTCCCGGGCTTTGAGAAGCGCCCCGGGTGTGACCTCCCCCTGCCCTGAGCGCAGCAGACAGGTGGACGGAAGCCGGACGCACACCCGAGACCCGCTGTCACTGCTGGCAACTGCGCGAGGCTGGCCGCTGCCCCAGCAGGGCTCCTGTCCTGGGAGGGGGCCATGAGCCCCCGCCCCAGCAGAGCCAAGTGGGGGGAGCTGCCTGAGGACAGCAGCTGGGTGGGCCACCGGGTTCTCACTCGTGTACTTGTCTTCACACCAAGATGCCAGAGTTCGGGAGGATGAAAAATTAATCTTCAGGGGTAAAATTGCACGTCTGAACCTCAGCCAGAATCGGTACTTACGTCAGTGGAAGGAACAGAGACCAAACTGCCGAGGCCAGGGCCGAGAGAGGTTGGAGGCAGAGCTGAGGACACTGTTGAGCTCTGGTCACAGGCCTGTCACCCTGCGGTGCCCAGGTCACCTGTCATTACTACCATCAGACAAGTACACTCTCACTGGCTGTGCCCTTTCAGTGTGCCTGTGCTTCTGTGGTCTGTGTGTCTGTGTGTCTGTGTGGGGATCCTCCCAGGGCTGGGGGCGGCTTAGACAGTTTCCAGGCTGGGGGTTTGATCTGCTCAGGTCTGCAGGGTGGGGGGCCCATGAGCAGCAGGAGGAAGCGGGAGGAAGGGGGAGGTAGGGGAAGGGTGGGAGTCACATGTCACATGTCCCTGTCTCTGAGGCTGTGTCACCACAGGGGCAGCCATCTCCCACCCCCCGGAAAGGCTGTGAGGAGCAAGGTCCGCATCTGCTTTCTCACCTGGGAGGAAGTTATCCTAATTGGACCCCGTCAGGGGTTTCCGACAGCTTAGGACAGTGCAGCCTGTGGCTCGTAGGTGTCAGCATGTGGGGGAGAAGAATTCTGGGGGCAGTAAGTTCAGGAAAGGTGGGGTGGCACCAGGTAAGCAGTCTGTTCTGAGGGACTGGAGTATGCTGATGAGCGTTACGGATCTTTCCAGAAAGACGGTAGTCTGCAGGGCCCACGGTCTGGTCGTGGAACCCTTTCCCCCGAGTGTCCTGGAATGGGATGGGGGTGAAGTTGTGAGGAGCCATTCTGGCAAATGCCAGACCCAGAGCGTTCAGCTGGGCGGCAGGACAGCTGTTTTCCATCCGGAAACCTTCCTGAGCTGTGCCTGTAACCCCCGGACCTTGCTGTTCCTGACAGAAAGCCGAGTCAGGCACAGGGCCGTCCAGCATCCAGGCAGGAAATCAGCCGGTTGGTTCTCGGCTCCTCTTCTTGGGAAACTCCGATGTTCTTCTGCTTGGGGCTGAAGGCCTGGGAGCCATGTGCGCGAGTGCCCTGTTTGGAGCCCTCTCCACCCGCTGACTCCCAAGGGGCCAGAGAGACCCCCCCCCCCCATCCTTCCCGTGGGCCAGCCTGGGTGCCAGCACGCAGCCCGGGCAGAGAGCTGAGCTGAGGCACCTTCGAATCCTGAGAGTGCACAGGGGCACTCTGCAGTGTGCAGGGACGGGTGTCCTTGTGGCCAGAGCCAGGCCTTGGACAGCAGGTGTCCCGGTCCACCCCAGAGGGGCAGCCTGGGCGAGGTGGAGCCCCTCTCTTGTGTACGCTGGCCAGGAGGCCCAGGGGCGCCCCCTCGAGGCTTCTGTCTAATGCCCGTCAGCTGTCTGTGACCTTCCTGGCCCTTGGGAGAGGAGGTGCTCATTTGGCTTCTGTCCTCACTAGGTGAGGCTTGTTCTAGCCCTGGTGTCACTTGTGCAGGAGGGAGGCAGAGGTGGGGCCAGGCCAGGCCAGCACAGAGGCCGATGGACACAGAGCCTGGTGGGCCGGTGGGGAGGCCGCTGCCGCCTTCATGGGGGCAGAGGGAAGGGGGGGAGGGACTGCCAGGAACCGGGGGGAGGGGCTGGTTCCCCGATGCTCCCAGGAGAGGACGTCAGCAGTAGCAGCCGCAAAGCCCCAGGTCACACGGAGGCCCACAGCGTCAGAGGGCTGCCTGTGTGGCACTTCCGTGGAGCTCCGGAGCCTGGGCCTGCTGACCCAGGGGAACGGACTCCTCTGGGTTGGCCCCTCTTCTGCGAGGCTGCCACGCTCATTGATCTGTGTTCCTTTTCCAGGCAGTAGTGAGAGCTCAGAGTTTAGTGAAGAGATGTCTTCAGGGCTGGAAAGGTGAGTGTGGCCTCAGCTCGGCCTCCCTCCCAGGGCTGCCCTCAGGGCTCCGGGCAGGGACCGGCCCCCACCCCCACCGCCTCTCACCGGCGGCGGCTCCTCAGGTCACCTCGGGGGGCCCAGGGGCAGGGCCCCCTCGCCATGGGGGGTGGAGGAACAGGACGGGCGTGGGGCAGAGCCCCGTGCTCTGCGCGGCCCCACTCGTCGTCCGGTCCAGAGCTAGCCCAGGAAACTGAGGCCAGCAGCTCTTCCTCAGGCCGAGCTGCAGATTTGGTCCGAAACGTGGGTTCTTAAAACCAGAAGCCGGAGAGAGGCCTGGTGTGGAGATGGGCCCGTGGCTCCGCCTGGTGGGGTCTGAGAGTGTTACACCCACATGGCTTCGGCTTCGGGCTAACGCCCACCCCGCTGGGCACTGGTGACAGCAAAGTGGATCCCCATCCCTGGGTTTGGCTCCCCGTGGTGAGGCCTGCTGCCCCGGGAATGGGGCCTCTTGCACCCGCCCGCTGCATCTCCTCCACGCGCTGATGCTCTCTCTGTGCCAGGCTCCGGGGCCCCTGGGAGACAGACGCTCCATAAGGAGCGGTGGCTTCGCCAGAAGTGAAGGGCGTCGTGGTGGCTGGAGGTCTGAGGGGAGGTGGGGAGAAGTCCACTGACATCGAAGGCTCCAGAGAGGCAGGTCCGCTCCATCCTTCAGAGTAGCCGCTCCAGCAGCGTGTGGGGGCGCGTGTGCACAGACGGGCACACACTCGCCCAGGCGTACGCACACTCTCCCACACGCTTGCGCACACGCATGCATACGTACATGTGCTCCTGTATGTGTGGGTGTACGTAACGCACACCGCTCACACGCGCGCACGCACACACGCACACACTCCTCACTGGTACGGGGTGCTGGGGCCTCCCATCCCACCGCTCTCCACACCGTCAAATGGTCGGAGAGGAGGTGAACCCACCTAGCAGGTCCTCACGGGGCAGAGAGACGTAAGTGATAAGCCAGGAGTGAGTTTTGCTGAGCATTTCCTGTGGGCCAGACGCTGTCGTGGCCCCAGCGGCCCCTCAGGCACCTCGGTGGTTATCGGTGGTGTCCCCTCACACCTGTGGCCGGCGACATGCTTGTCCTGCTTCCTCGCCCTCTGGTAGAGCAGAGCCGGCCCGCGCCCACCTCCGCCAGCTGCCGAGCCCACCTCCTTACTGCTGTGCTCCCGGCCTGTTCCGCTGTGACAGCTACGGGCACCGGCCCCACGTCTGTCTGTCGGCTGGTCTGTCTGTCTTTGTGAAATGCTGGACAGAGGGCCCCGAGCCCTCGGAACGTGCCCCCTCTGCCCCTGCTGCGGGACCCCTGGGGGGATGTTTGCTCTGCTCTCGCTTGGGTCGCTCAGGCCAATGGTCCCCGCTGCCCTCGCCCGGAGGCCGGCCCAGCAGTGGAGACGAGAACCAGACAGGACCCAGGGCGGCCCCCACATCTGATGAGCAAAATTTTGACTTTTGTCAACATCAGTCAGGGGACTCCTAGGGAGACCCTGAGGAAGGGGCCTTAGAGGCAAGCCAGTGTCCCCTGGCCACAGGCCAGTGAGGGCACACGAAGTGGGCAATGCAGGCATGGCGCCAGGGTCCTGAATATCCTCTGGACTTGAACCTATTCACTGGTTCATTCATTCCCTCATTTTCTCATTCATTCACCGAGTAGCTGTCCAGTAAGCCACTGCGCCCTGCCCGGCCCCCTGCTAGGCACTGGGGGCAGCGGGGAAGGCTCCTCAGGAGCACCTAAGACCCAGACTGGAGCCACCAGGAAGGAAGACAGTGAGAATTCCTGCCCCCGGGAGAGGGTGCTGTACTTCAGCAGCAGCGAGCCCTGTAAGGCACAGCATTCTCTTCTCTCTTTCACTTAGAATTTGGGCTTTCCTTTGTCATCCGTCATAATGTTCATAGTAGGTGCCTTTGGGACAGGACCTCCGGCAAGCACCGGTCTCCCAGGCGGCTCACCCAGGCCAATGCCTCCCGCAGGGAGAACGTCCTGTGTCCCTTTCTCTGGGGACCCCGCTCTGGGACCTAGCCCAGTGAAGGAGGCAGGAGAGCACTTGCTTTGGAAGATGCCTGTGGGGCTAGGATGAGCCCCCTAGCGGGACCCCCACGCTGCCCCCCTGGCCTCCAGCTCCCCTGGCCTGGCCTCCGGTCTGCTTTTTCATCCTGCACTAGCCTCTCTCCACAACCACCAGAAAGATTCCACTCCCTCGAGTGCACGTGAGGATTTCAGACTTCCCTGAAGACCCGATGCGAGCACTGGAGGGGAGGGTTTGTCTCACACTCTTTGAAAATCTTCGTTAAATGTCACTCTTTGCCACATGATTCAGTGACCACGGTTCACTTTGCCACCCGGGCCTCCGTCCTTCCTAACCTTCGGCCACACAACGCTCAGCCCCACTGGATGCCCCCTTCACCCCCAGGCCACTTTGCTCCAGCTCTACAAAAGAGGGGCAGTTTCTGTCTCCCCGGAGGCCAGGGCCACCCTGCCTGGGCCCAGAGGCCAGTGTCTTCCCCGAAAGAGCCTCCAGAACACTTTTCAGCAAAGCTGAGCTTCGATCTCTGAGACCCCAGGTCCTGACCCTGTAAGAACACAGCTTGCTCTGCATCTTTACGCTCGTGTGGGCCCACAGCCAGGGGTGCAGGAGAGCGCTGGCCCCACTCAGAGGGATGGGGTGTGAGACAGCAAGAGTGCCTGACTTCTCCAGTCCCCAGAGGCCAGACCAGGGCAGGGGCAGCACTTTGCCCCACATCCCTGAAGCTCGGGGGCCACAACCTTCACCTCATTTGTCCACTAGGCCCCCGGCACTGGTGACAAGCTTGACCCAGGCCAGGAAGAGAAGTGAGGCCAAATACCAGCATGAAGGACAGGGAGGTCCCAGGCCAGTGACCCCTGACCACCAGCACACACACCTCCATTGGTTCGAAGGCACATTTTAATCACCCTTTATGCCACTATGAACGGGCGGGCACGAGGGTTCCTGTTGTCTGACCGAGGGTGGGTTCATTTGGCCTTGTATTCCAAGTTTGCCTTCCCTGCGATCACACACGTGGCCATTTCAGCCTGGTGGCCCAAAAGCCATCCTCGAGTGGCAGCCCAAGCTCAGGCGGCCCTCAGTGCTTTCCTCAAGTGGCCAGCATTAAAAAGCACCCATGTTGGAGCCTACAAACGTCCTGGGGACCCTTCGGGGCTGTTCTCTGAGGGGCTGGGCTAGGTGGAGGGATAGCGCTCCCACTGACCCTGTTCTTGCAAGGACTGTGGAGCGAGGGCAGAGGGGGTGAAGGGGACTTCCCTCTGCTGCTCCCATCCTACTGTCCCTTTATCCAGCAGCCTCCGCAAGGTCACAGGGCCCGGGGGCTGAGGAGGGGTGGGAACTGCCTAGCCGTGAGATGGCCAGACCAGGGAGGAGTTGGTTTGGCTACTCCAAAGGCCCTCCCCTATTTTGGGGGGCCCAGAACAACCAGAGGCCACAGGCCCTGCGGAGGGGGGTGAGGATGGGCCTCCTCCTCCCTTAAGGCTCTACTTCCTGCCCCAACCTGTAGTGTTTTGGCCTCAGTGTCCTGGGCTGAGGCCAGAGGTAGAGGAGGGCCCCCATCATGCTCTGCTTTCCCAAGGAAAGAAGGCAGGTGGCCCCCAAAAAGCATTTTCAACATGTACCTAATTAACTGGCAAGTAGGGACTGTGGACACTGCCCTAGGCTAGCCTCGAGCCAACCCCAGGCCTCTCAGAAGTTCAAGAGGCCAGGGACTCCTTAGTCAGGCCCGGCAGGTAGAACTGTCAGGTGCGTCTTTAATGCCTGATCTGGCATAAAGGGAGAATAAGAACATTAGCCTAAAAGTTAACAATTTTAAATGAAGTTTCTTAAAAGAGGAACAAAATGGGTGACAGATGTGAACATACACATATGTACAAAAAACATGTAATGTCACTCTCCTTGGTTCTCTCTGAGTCCTAGGGTCATCGAATGAATTTCTTCCCTTCATTTTTTTCCCCTCTATATTCTCCAGATCTGCCACAATGGGTACAGGTCTTTTTTACACTCAGAAAAAAATTAACATTTAACTTAAAAAAAAAAAAAGATATAATCAGAAACATTCACTGATTGGTTTGGAACAGGTAACATATGAAAAGTGTGGTGCAAAGTTCATTGCGAAACCCTTGGCCATCTGTCTTCCCTAGTCCCGCGTCGGCAGTGTGGGGGGACCGGTGCTCCCGTGTGAGAGCCAGGCCAGAATTACAGGTGGTGGAAGGACGAGGAAGCAGATGGGTGCTTGGAGGACAGGAGAGGAAAGTGTGACAGCCTCTCAGAGGCAGAGCCGCTCCTCCCTCCCAGGGAGGTGATGGCTAGAGGGGAGCTGGTCAGAGCTAGCGTGGGCGGGGTGACCCAAGTCCCCCTGCAGGATCCAGAGTGGCTTCCGGTGGAGGTGATGGTTAAGCAGAAGCCCAAGAACTTTGGTGAAGAGGACCACAGTGGGCCCTCGAGAGGGGTGGTGGGATCCGGGGAGGCTGCGTGGCCTGAGTCTTGCCAGGATGAGAAAGGAGGCGGCCCAGGGACGCTCGGTGCGTCTCTTAAGAGCCACTGCGGGAGAGGTGGGCTGCACGATGCGTCCTGAAGTTCTTGGTGTGCCTTTGCATTGAAAGATCATGGTCTGGCTTCCAGACATTGCCAGCAGCACCGGGAGGGGCCCAAGGTCAGGACTGCTTGCTCTCAGTGACCTTGGGCATGTCTCTCAACCTCTGAGCCTCAGGAGCCTCAGGTCTACAGCGAGGATGCTCACAAGAAATACTTAGCACACAGGAGGAGTTGCTGCGTCTGGGAACTTGCTTTGATGTTTTTATGAGTTTCACTCAGTGTGTCCCTCTTGCGAGCAAGCCGGTGACCTGGGGGGCCTAAGACTGGGTGGGGACGAGAGGAGAGTCCCCAGATGGCAGTTCTGTCATCATGGGATGGATGAGCTACAATGAAGACGAGCGTCCACCAGCCCTGGTTGGCCTGCGGGGTGACACTGAACTGTGGAGGGGACTGGACCCCTTTAAGAGGGCGCTGCAGGCAGTCAGCCCTCCAAGTGCTCTAGGGTGTCAGAGAGGCGGGACGATGGCATTCCTCCTTGTGTGAGCTTTCCTTGTTCTCTTTAGCCGGTAGAATCTACCAACATCCTTAGGGAGACCCCAGGAAAGGCTCCACCCAGGAGCTCAGGCCCCTTTGAGAGAGAACGGCTGGCGGTGGCCCCTGGCTCCCTCTCACTTGACCTCGTCCTCGGGCCCTGGCAGATGAGGGCCGGGCCCTGCCCACTAGCTGCTGTGGCTTCACGGGTAGCTGAGGAATCGCAGCCCACAACCTCTCTGTCCAGTACCCACAAGCCCTCAGACTCAGGTCCTAGAAAGTGGGCAGGACTCTCCATCTCGTACCAGTCCTTCTCCATGCATATCCGCCACACTCCCCTCTCTCTGCAGACCGGACTTCTAGACTTCTCAGCTCACAGAGGGGAAGCTGGACACCCCACAGCTCCCGAGTTTACACGTTGTACCCTCATCCAGCCACAGAGCCTGACTTTCCATCCCTCAAATCTAGTTCTGAATTGCCATGAGAGAAAATCTGATTGACTGGATTAAGTGTTGTTTTATCCACTCAGTACGAATGGATAAACATGCAGTAAGAATATGGCTCCCAGAGACCCACTCAGATCAGGGACGTTGCCCAGAGAAGAGTAAGTGAGTGACTCATAGGCAGTAAGAGTCTGTTAGCAAGTACTGCTAGAAGGGATGTCCCAGGCCCAGCAGAACGCAGAGTGGCGGCTTCCTCTCTGCTGATGAGGGTGAATCCTCAGGAAGAGGCTGACGCTCTGGTCTAATGGGATGGCTTCCCATCAAGGGTTGGCTGGTACGGGTGGACAGTGTCGATGAACAGCATTTCCTGGGCCCTTCCGTAGACCTCAAGGGGCTCTGCGCACTTGAGATAGAAGAATGGGTAGAGGACCCTACTTCTGCTAAGACAGGATTACTGAGGCCCCGGTGTATTATATTCAGGACTTCTCCCTGTTCCCCAACCTCCTAGGGCAACTCAGGGTTTTAGGAAATTTAATCCCCACGATACCACCTAATGTGTACCTCGAAAACTATTGTGGGGAAGAGATCTTTCAGATCTGCCTCGGCCAATCTGAATTCTCATGATACTGTTGCCCCAAGCAGGACCCCGGCTGCTTCCACCTCAGCAGCACTACCCACTCTTCCTCTTCCTAGTGCTGTGAACTTGGGCGAGTTACTCTACTTCTCCAAGCCTCAGATTCCTTATCTACAAGGTGGGGACAAGAATAGTGCTTGCCTAACAGTGTTCCTAATTGTCAGGACAGAAAAAATCACAGTGTGATTAGACAAGATAAGGAATAAATACTACTTAGCACATTGCCTAGCACCCATAACCCCCATCATCCCCATCACCCCTACCCTCCCCATCATCCCCGTCATCCCCTCATCCCCGCCATCCCTGTCATCCTCATCAGCCTATCACCCCATCATCCCCATTAGCCCATCTTTATTATCGCCACCATCCTTTCACTATCATCATCATCACCATCATCATCGTCATCATCATCTTGCACACCATTCAGGATTGAAGTGTTCTACTTGGTTGTCAGGCTACATTTCCCCAGACCAGACTCCCCATGAGTAGGGTTGCCTCCTGCATCCCTCCTCCCCGCCACTACCCAAGATCCACCCCTCAGAGGAGACTGTGCAATGGCCTTCCCGGAACACATTCCATTCAGCCACCTTCTGCTGCCAGCATCATGCCGGGAAAGATGTCTGTGGTTCTGGAGTGGGAGCCCCCGTGTCAGTTCAGCAAACTCTCCAGTTTCTCAGTTCACCAGATACAGTGCCCATTCGTTCTGCATTTTCTGGCCCTGAACATTCAAATAACAAGTTTTCTCAAAGCAGGGCAGTGATCAGATTGGTCCCAATAGCTGAAGATCCTAGCTCCTCTGTGCTGATTCGAGCCTGCCTGGGCCCAGCCAGAATCACCCAGCCAGCACAAGCCCCCTCCAGCCCTACGGGGCTCACCTTGGGAGGAAGGCTGGCCGCCACAACCCTGACTGTTCTAAAAGCTGGCCTTGGAGAAAATTCATTACACTGCCCTTCAAGGCCAGGGTCACTCCCCCAGGTCCCAGGGAAGCAGGCTCTGACTTCCCCCACTTGGGGCAGCTTGACTGACATGAGCCGTCTGCTCGTACTGGGAAGCCACACTCCCTTTGTGAATATTTGCGTCTCCATCACTAGTGACAGGCCAGTGGGGTGGGACGAGTGGCTTCACCTCCTTGAGCCTCTGTTTCCTCTCTTAAGTCAGGGTGGGAATAGCGCCTCTCACAGAGCTGGGAGGAGCGGCATGTCTTGTGGTGAGCAGCTGCTCTTCAGTGCCCATCAGCCAAAACCACCAGAATATTACTCCGGTGCAGAGACCAAGGGATGGGGGGCCTGGGAGGGCTCCCACCCAAGGGGATCCAGGGCCCAAGACTGTTGTGGCTGTCCAGTGTCTTGGACACTGACAAAGCCCGATCGGTGTGAGCTGCGGCAGAGACCTTCTGGGATCAAGCCCGGAAGCCACCTCCATGGTGCCGGCTCCACACACAGCGCTAGCGCCTGTGACAGACCCCACCGCATGTGACTCCTCAGCCTCCCCATGACCCTGAAAGGTGTGGGAGGAGCTTGGGCTATACAGATAGAACAGGGTCCAATCCTGGTTTACGAGGCTCAGGCCTCGGTCAAGTATCTTCACATCATTAAGCCTCAGTTTCCCTATTCTGGGGAAGATAATGTGCGTAACTTAAAGCTCCAGTGAGATGGTGAGTGTAACAGCCTTGCGCATATGAGCCCCCACTCACTAGTGATCTCTGCACCCCCTGCACACCCCCACCAGTCCAGTGCACTAGCGGGCACCCCACGCCTTTAGAAGGAACGTTAAGGAAAGGCTGCGTAAGAGGCTAGGCTGGTTGGAAGATGCTGATTGAAGCCTCTCCATCAACAAGCGTCAGTCCTGCAGATATCTGTTGAGTGTGCAGCCACGGATGGTCTCAGAAAGGAGAGCGTGACGGAGGGAAGGTAGCCGTGCCAGCCACACCTCCCTGTTGGTAGAACTGCCGGTCGCTGGGGACAGCTCTCTGTCGCCACACATTTTCTCCGGGTACTGGGGCAAAAAGACCCACAAGAAGAAAGGTGGAGAAAGAGAGGCCAGAAGACCCAGCTCTGGAAAGGGAGGCTCCGTCTCTAACTCCAGACAGGTGGAGGCTCAGATTAGGATTCCAGATCAGACGAGGAGGCATCTTCCTGGCACAAGGAATGTCATCGCCGGAAGGTTCACTGTCACACTCTGCCCCGAGTCATAAGAAATCTCTGGTGGTGGCTATGGAGGAAAGCCACCCTGGAGGTGGCCCATAGCGAGCCCTCCCAGCAGCCTGCTTAAGCACGGGGTGGTGACAGGCCACGGTGCCACGCCCGACTGTGAGGTAGGCATTGGTGTCGCCAGTAACGGGGCAGTGCTGCAGCCTTTCGTAAGTTAAAGCAGACTCGTCATGACCCGTACTGCCGCTCATTCACTGCAGTGCAAGCCTGTTGCTGAATTGAAGAGAGGGAGGAAACAGTCGGCCTGCGGGCTGGGAGTTGGGCATGCCAGGGCCTTGTCTGTGCCACAGTTCGTGGCAGGGGCAGGGGCAGCCTCTGACCATCATCTGTGACCGAGGTGTGGTGGGGAAAGGCCGAGATCCATTACGTTTGAGGACTCGAGGGGCCAAGCACATGCTGCGGCTTTTTACCCCGTGAAGGGGAGTAGCTGATGGGCAGAAGGAGCAGGGTCCCAGAGCAGTTGGCCTAGGTGGCCATCAGACTCCCACGGGCCCTGAACTTGGGCCCCTGCATTGGCAGACGCAAGACAGGTCCTTCTCAAGCGGAGGGTGGAGGGGCAGGGAGGAATGCTGCCCCCTCCTGGAGGAGCTGGAGCCCACTGATGGTATGATGCACCTGCTGGAGTGAATGCCCGACGTCCCCACGCCACCCCCAGGTGTCCAGAGCTGCAGGGCCCGCACACAGCAACCGAGGGCGGGCAGTGGAGAACAGAGAGAATATTTAAAAACGAAGTCTCCACCCCGTCTGACTTTATAAATTGGGTTACATCACTGTTTGGCCAACGGGCAAGGAAAGCTACAGCCCAGGGAGAGACCATCCTGCAGGGGTGAGAAGAAGACTGAGGACCAATGGACACAGGAAGTCATTCTGCTGAAAGAGGAAAAGATGAAGAGAAGAGAGAGAAATGGAGGCCTCCCCCCAGACAGATTAAACTCCCTCCTTACTCTGGAAGCTGCACCTTCCTCTGCAGGGGCTCCCTGCTGGGGACTCCAGGTGAGAGAGAAGCTGAGAAGCCGGAGGGGCGGCCCATGGAGAGATTGCAGGGGTCCGGCTGGGGCCAGCAAAGGAGACAGTCCGGTGGAGAGGACACCACAAACAGGAATCTGGCTGTGCCCTGGTGAAAGATGACCTTGCACACATCCCCCGGGCCCGATGTGCAAGACTTCCCACAGTTCTGTGGCTGTGTGCGCCCTTTTCGCTGGATTTACCATGGAATATTTGGGCTTTCTAGCTTTTTCTAGTAAATATGTCAGCTTCACATTGGGTAAATGGGTGTGCCCTGAATTTAGTCACCCCCTGCCACCGGAAGAAGGGTGAACATTTAATTAAGAAGTTAAGGAAAGAATCACCTGGGGGCTCAGGAACTTGCCCTGACGGAGGTTTCGGGGCTCCAGATGTGTCCCAGATGTGCCTGCAGCGTGTCGGAGGAGGTGCGGGGAGAGTTGGGGTTGGAGCTCCCCGAGCTAATGACCGCAGGGTCCGAGGTACCCTCGCTTCCTCCGAGTATCTCATGGTTCCGGGCTGTTGCTAAAACCCCACCCTTTTCCTCTGAAGCAGGGGACGTCTCTATGCCACCCTGGGGCCCAACTGGCGCGTTCCAGTTCGGAATTCTCCCAGGACCCGGAGCTGCGTCTACAGGTATTTGTTTATTCGTGTGTTCAGCCTTTTGGCCAACAGCCCTAGGCTGTGCTTGTCAGATCCACGCGCTGTGCTGGAGGCTGCTCATGAGACAGACGTGGCCTCTGCCTCAGCCCATGAGGCCGCTGCCGCAGGAAAGACAGGCCGAATGGATGATCCCAGATGACTGACTGTCCCAGAGTGGAGGTGGGGTGGAGCAAGGAAGGCCTCTCTGGAGAAACGACTGGGAGAGTGATAAGAATTAATCAAATACAGGGAGGGAGGTGTAGGGGTAATAAGAGTGCCCCAAGCCAAAGGGAAAGAAGGAGAGTCAGTGTTGTAAGAAATGAGAGGGGGAGGGGTGGAGATGAGGCTGGAGAGGTGGGGCCAAGCAGGGTTGGGGGGAGGTGACAGACAGTGGCATGACCAGGTCATCCTGGCCAGAGGCATGGAGAGCTGGAGGGGGTACAGGAGGAAGGCAGGAGGGGCCGCAGGGAGGCCAGGGAGAGAGCATCAGGCAGTTGTCCAAAGGAAGAGCCACGTTGTAGCCTAAGGTGCGGGGGGTGGGCAGGGTGGCTGAGAGGGGCAGTCAGGCATATGTAGGACTTGGGATCAGGGCATCCTTGGGATCGAATAGGTTGCAGGGATGGAGGTGTAAGAGGAGAAACACCCCAGGTCCCTGGTTCAAGCCGCCAGGTGGATGGGGGTGCCGTTCACCCGCCTGGGGAGGAAGAACAGCTTGAGGAAAGACACCAAGTTGAGAGAGATGCCTAAGGGAGGCGCCTACCCAGTGAGGGAAGCCCGGGGGCCAGGTCCCAGCCAGAGCCGCGCTTGGCTGTCTTCACCTGCAGGTGGCGCCAGAAGCCCCACTGCGGGAGGGTGGGGTGGACGGCGGGGGCGGGGGGGGGGGTGTAGAAAGGAGTCCTGAGGCAAAGGTGCAGGGCTGGGCAGCTGTTCCCCCACCAGCTTCTCACTCCACCCCCGCGTCCCCCACCGCTCCTCCAGGCTCCTGCCCGCACGAGGAGGGGCTGCGTAGGCCCCAGAGGAAGGTGGGAGCACGGGGGCAGGGCAGGAGGAAGCCACCACAGCAGCCAGGACAGGGTGGCCGGTGCTGCTGGGGCCTGGGTTATAAGGAGCTCGGTCACCAAGCCTTGCAGGCTCAGAAAGATGAGGGAGGTGAAAGTTTGCAGCTGTGGCCGCCCAGGCCCCCCTTCCTTCGAGCTCTCCTTGGCCTCAGGGGCCCCTCCCTGGCCTCTTCTCCACAGCGTTGAGTCCTCTGGCCTGACGCAGGATCGGGGACTCTGCGGTGGGGACCTGGGAGGGACAGGGTGCCTGACCCCACCCCTGCAGGGCAGCATCTGACCGGTGGTCTCCCCGCAGCCCCACGGGCCCATGCATCTGTACGCTGGGGAGCTCAGCCGCAGTGCCCACCATGGAGGGTCCTCTGAGGAGGAAAACTCTGCTCAAGGAAGGACGGAAACCCGCGGTAAGTGCAGACAGTCCCCTGTCCAGAAGCGGCCAGGGCATCAGTGAGGGTCCTGGGCTCCAGCCCTGGCTGTGCTACTGAGGGGGCCAGGGCCTCAGTTTCCATATCTGTAAATTGGGATCCAGTAGTGCCTGTGTCCTCGAGGACTCAGCAAGAATGTCACATGCGCGGCAGTGCACACAGTGAGCGCACGGGGGGCCAGAGCTGTGACCAGGGCACGTGTTAGCCGGCAGAGCCCTGGAGCTAGGTTGGTACTGGCCTAACCTGCCCCCGCGAGGGTCAGCACCGTGTTGCCCCTCCATCCCAGCCAGAGCACCCCAGTGCAGGTATCAGGGTTCTGCTAGGCTATGGCTTAGCATGTCTGGGTTTTAAAAATCTTCTTCCTCGGGGCACCTGGGTGGTGGTTCTGTCAGTTAAGCATCAGGCTTTGGCTCGGGTCATGATCTCACAGTTCTGAGTTCGAGCCCCACATCGGGCTCTCTGCTGTCAGCGCAGAGTCCACTTCAGATCCTCTGTCTCCCTCTCTCTGCCCCTCCCCGCCTCAAAAAGAAATAAATATCTTAAAAAATAAACAAATACAATTTTTAAAGTAAAAAATAAAAATCTTTTTCTCCAGGATATTCTTGGGCCCAAGTTACCCCAACACATAGAACTTAAGCCTTGGCTCTGCCTTAAACAAGCAGGGAAAACGAAAGCCTCTCTGAGTAAAGGAGCCAGAGAGGGAAGGTAGGGCTTAGGGCTGAGGAGCCTGGAGGCACCGATGAGGAGGCTCTCCCCCTCCAGGCCCTGGGTGGAAGTGACTTTGGTGGGTGAGGGGCCAGGGAAGAGGTGAAGCCAGCGCTGGCATTGGCCCGAGGCGAGGAGTGAGGGGAACCTTTCCACCCACGTGGCTGGGTCTGTAATCAGGCCGGGGGGGGGACTCCCCCACCACTCCTGGGGTGTCACTCTGCCTCCCCTTCCTCTGTAGCTGTCCTCATGGACCAGGTACTGGGTCATACTCTCGGGATCCACCCTCCTGTACTACGGAGCCAAGTCCTTGCGGGGCACGGACAGAAAACACGTGAGTCCCCTGAAAAGACTTTCCATGCTGGGACTTCATGTGGTATGACCTGCAGGGGAGGAGCGGAGGGAGGCAGGGGAGGTGGCAGGGGTGCGAAGGAACCTCGCCAGGCCCAGCTCAGCCTTCCTGGGGGAGACGGCGTCGGGGAACGGAGGGTGTGGGCCTCCTGGTTACGCTATTGTCCTTCCCCAGTATAAATCCACACCTGGCAAAAAGGTCTCCGTTGTGGGCTGGATGGTGCAGCTTCCTGATGACCCCGAGCACCCCGATATCTTCCAGCTGAATAACCCCGACAAAGGTAGGCAGCGGGCCCGGCGCCAGGTACCTCCCACTTCTCTCTACCCTGTTTTCCTCCCCTGATAAATGTACATTTTGAAACAGAAGGAACCTTGGGGGCTGCTGCTTTCGCTTTGCTTTAGGTTGTGATCAGAGGGTCCCCTTACTAATCCATTGAAAAAACTGCTTAGACCAAGGTCAGTGTGTCCACTGAGCAGGGGGCATGGCACATGGCACGTGGCTGCAGGAACCCTTTTGTGGCCTCACCTGTGGCTACTGGGGCCCATCACCTTTGGAGCTGTGGCTTCAGGGTCTTGGAATAAATAATATAATGCTTCATGAGGCAGGGACCACGTGGCTGGGAGGGTCTCGGGTCTTGGGAGATGTCAGGGACACCCCTGACATCACCTGTGCTGTGAGACTCTCACAGTATCCTAGTCCAAGGCCAAATCTGAGACGAGTCCTTTGACAAAAGCCCCAACTTCAACTTGTCTGGCCATCTCCCACTTTCCCCCTGGTTCCATCCTCCTCCACGACCATGTTGGGTCGAAGGAGAGGTCCTGGGCTCCATCTTGTCCAGGAGCGCAGCCTGCACTGACCTTCAGAATAGGCCATGCTATGAAGGAAATGGAAATCAGAACCACCATGAGATATCACCTCACACCAGTCATGTGGCCAAAATAAAAAAGACGAGAAATAACAAGTACTGGCAAGGATGCAGAGAAAAGGGAACGTTTGCACGCTGCTTACGGGAATGGGAATGGGTGCAGCCACTGTGGAAAACAGTATGGAGGTCCCTCAAAAAATTAAAAATAGAAAAACCAGACGATCCAATAATTCCATTACTGGGTATTTACCCAAAGAAAATGAAGACAGTAATTCAAAAAGAAATTCACCCCTATGTTTAAAGTTTATTGCATTATTTACAATAGCCAAGATATGGAAGGAACCTAAGTGTCCTTTGATAGATGAATGGATAAAGAAGATGTCACACACACACACACACAAACACATACACATATGCGCACAGGCGCACACACACACATACAAGTCATAAAAATATTACACAGCCACAAAAAAGGAGATCATGCCATTTGTGGCAACATGGATGGACCTAGACGGTATTATGCAAAGTGAAATAAATCAGATGGAGAAAGACAAATACCATATGATTTCACTCATTTGTGGAATCTAGGGGGAAAAAAGGAAGGGGAAAAAAAAGGTAGAATCAGACCTTTAAATACAGAAGACAAACTGATGGATGCCAGAGGGGTAGGAGGTGGTCAAAATGGGTGAAGGGGAGTGGGAGGCACAGGCTTCCAGTTACGGAATGAATAAGCACAGAAACAAAAGGAACAGCATCAGGAATAGAGTCAAGGATATCTTAATAGTGCTACGTGCTGATAGATAATAACTACACTTGTGGTGAGCACAGCATAATGTGAAACTCGTTGAAGCTCTTAGTTGCACGGCTTAAACTAATACCATTCTGTGTCAACTGTACTCAAAACAAAACAAAACAAAACAGAATAGACCATTCTAATCTTCCCGGTGGCCCACGTCACATGACAAAACCCCAAAATGCCTGGGTGTTGGCTTCTAGCCAGACAAAGTCGCTGGGACTATGAAGTCTCCGAGCATCTTCAGACCCTCACAGGAAAGTTCTAGTGCAAGGTTCACATACATACAAAGCACCTGAGGATCTTGTTAAAATTCAGATTTGGATTCAGCGGATCTGGGGTGGAGGCCAGGCTTCTGCATTTCTCACAAGCCCCCAGGCCACGCAGATGCTGCTGCAGGAGGGAGACCGCACCTGGACTGTCAACGGTCCTAATGTCCTTAGCCGGGCAGTAAAGGAACACCAACCTCAAGGGGCCCAGGGGGTGGAGGGGAGAGGAGCCAAGTTCTCTGCTCCACGTCTGAACAACTAAATCCACGCACAGCTACACACACGTCGGTGCATCCCAGTCTGGTTACCACTGGACTTTCTTCCTTAAGGCTCTGGGCCTGGATTCGAAGTGGTTTCTTGAGGGGCACCTGGGTGGCTCAGTCACTTAGGCGTCCGACTTCGGCTCAGGTCATGATCTCACAGTTTGTGAGTTTGAGCCCTGCGTCGTGCTCTGTGCTGACACCTCAGAGCCCGAAGCCTGCTTCAGATTCTGTGTCTCTTTCTCTCTCTGCCCCTCCTCTGCTTGTACTTTGTCTCTCTCAAATAATGAATAAACATTTTTAAAATTTTTTTAGTTAAAGTTTTTTTAAAAGAAGTGGATTCTTGAGGAAGTAAAGGCTATGTGCCTACATGAGCCTGCCTTAAGGACCATATGGCCATAGGGACTTGAGGCCATTCTTAGGCCTCAGCCCCCAGGAAAGCACTGTCCCCAGGCAGAGGGAAGTATGATGCAGAGGGTGGCCAGGGTCTGTGGATCAATCCCAAGGATCTGTGAACTTGAGTGGGGAAAAAATTACACGTCGGTTTTCTGTGGCCTCCCACACCTTTATTTATGAGCATTAAACTACAAGAACGTTCACGACACCTGTGATTTTATCTCCGAGAGAAACCAGATGTTTCCCTATCACATATCATCGCAGCTTTCCCAGAGTGCCGTTTCTACTCATCTCTTCGGAATTACAGCCCAGTGTCAGACCGGCCCCTGGCTCTTGCTGCTGGTGCATCAACAGAGAAGCCCAGTTACATCTGTGTCACTCACATGTTCTTTAGTAGTTTGATAACTGTATTCCAGTGGTATTGATATCCTTTGTATTTTCTTTTATGCATTTGAAAGCATTATCCTGGTGGCCATAGGCTTCACCGGAGCCAAATGCACCCTGGCCCCCAGAATGGTAAAGAGCCCCGGTCCAGAGGGACAGCCCAGAGGCACCGGAAGTTCTGCCTGTGCCAGCCCCAAGCTTGCCTCGAGCTGCTCCTGACCTTCCTTGGTTTCGTTCACCTGTGTTCACGTTTATCTTCGTGCCCTGGCCACGGGCGGCCCTCCCTCTTCCTAACCAGCGTTTTCTCTGCCCGCTAGGCAATGTTTACAAGTTCCAGACTGGCTCCCGGTTCCACGCAATACTGTGGCACAAGCATTTGGATGATGCGTGTAAGAGCAACAGGCCTCAGGTAAAGTCACCCAAGCCCTGCTTGTCACATGAATTATCCTTCCCCGCCCTTGAGACTGAGGGTCCATAGGAAAGAAGAGCTCCCTCCTTCCCTCAGAGCCTATTAGCTCTGCTCCCAGGCACCCTCTTTTGAAGAGCCTTTTTCCGTGAGACAGGGTACCCCCTGCTCAGCTTAGGGCTAAGCCCAGCTCCAGACCAGAACGTTGAGTCTGGTCCCTGTGTGTTTCCCACTGAAGGAAGCGGGAAGCTTCCATCAGGCACGGTTAGGTGGCAGGGGAGATGTCACCCCAAGGATCCGGACTCGGCATCTATGTAGACCATCCCCCTCACCGAAGTTGATTCATGGGAATGCTCCAGACTGATGAAAGGGCCTCCCTGCCCCACAATCCTTAGGAATAATAATATTAGCTAATATTGAGAGCCATCCATGGCCGCTCCTCAGTGTGTTGGAGCCAGCAGGGCCTCTGGTCTGCACCCCGCCCGGGACCAGGCATGATGGGAAATGCTTTACCTGCAGAAATTGGCCCAAATCCTTCCAATTCCCGTTGAGGTAGGTTCTCTTACGCTGTCTCCGTTTTATACTGAGGACACTGAGGCTCAGAAAGTGGCAGATACTCGTTTAAGGTCCCACAATAGCGAGATCTAACCCGGGTCTGCCTGACACCAGAGTCTATACCGCGGCCCAAGCTCTCCCGCCTCGCACTGCCCAGAGCGCCCCCAGCTTGCTTGGCCTCCTGCAGCGGAGCTAAAGGCAGCAGTCAGGCTTCTGGGAGGCACGGCTCTCTGGCCCTCAGCACCCGACGGGGGCAGGCTGGGGCTTCCTGCCCCGGGGAGTGCTGGGATTGGTATTCCTGTCCCTAAGCCTCCCTCTCCGTGCTCCCCAGGGATCGGCCAGAAGGGGGCACTGGGGAGTGGGTGCCTCTCAGGGCGAGCACCTTGCAAGCACAGAGCGTGCAGTGGGCTGTGGCAGCTTCCGGTGGTAGCAGCCGGGAGGCACCAGCTCTGAGGTCTGGGGGCACGGGGCTTGGAGGCCGGCAAAGGCTACGTCACACCTGGCATTTGGGTCCAGGAGGATACTGGTGACAGCACAGTCACATGCATCCGGGTCCCTCGAAAACCAGAGGGAGGTCTCAGTTTGGTCCTCTTCAGGATTATCCTCTGTAACATGAGATGAGAATGTACGTGACAGGCTGCTCAGATTATAGATGATGGGAGGCGAGAAAGCAGAATTAGCAGAAAGTTCTCGACAAACTAAAACAGGAGGAAAGATCGACAAAGGGAAAACTCGAGGTACCACTTCAAGGGAAGCTCAAAATAAACTACATTTGAGTCCCCCATCTCACCTATCTGCCTGCTAGGAATTTGCCCCGGTGAGGCACTTACACATGTGTGTGGGTAAGAATGTTCACTGCAGCATTGTCCTTGATAGAAAGAACTGGAAACCTCTGTGACCATCAGTAAATGGCCACCTGATAGCAATTAGAAGGAGGGGTGGTGGTATCCTGAAAGGGGCTCCAAGATAGAAGTAAAAAGCAAAGTATAGGGGTACCTGGCTGGCTCAGTCCACAGAGCAGACTCTTGATCTCGGTGTCATGAGTTCGAGCCCCACGTTAGGCATAAACTTAAAAAAAAATTTTTTTAAGCGAAGTGTAAAATATGCAAGGGCGATCTTATTTGTATTGAAATACATAAACATTTATAATATGTATGTTTGTGTCTGCGTATAAAGTTTCTAACCAGCATGCTGTGGTTTCTGGAGTGCTTACATGTATTTTTTTACATTAAACAAATGTAATTGCTTGTCTCCAAGATGGGAAGGCCAGGGTTTGTTTGGTTTTTGTTGAGTCACCTGAAGGTGTCCCCGAGTGAATAAGGCCTCAGGTCACACGAAGAGAGGATGAGTGCCCTGACCTTTTCCAAACTAGTCACGCTGTGTGTGTCTGGGGCTCCTCGTGAGCTCTGAGTGCCGCCCTAAGAGAACAGAGCCTGGAGCTCACCTGCCCCGCACACGTGGCCCTGTGACCTGTGAGCAGGAGCCTGGGGCGGGTAGCCCAGGGACTGCCTGCCCGGAGATGGGTCACCAGGAGGGTGGGGGAGAGGAAAGAAACCCGGCCTTGGCGTCTGCCTGGTGGCAATGGTCTGGGCACCTCAGTGGGACCCATGAGGCTTGCCTCGAGCAAGAGCCCATTGTCCCTCTCTGTGGGTCGGGGAGGGGACCCTTGAGGATGGCAGCGACTCCGCGGCGGAGAGCAGGGACCGGGTCCAGCCCGTTTGGCAGAGCAGGTGTTTGGTCAGAAGGACAAGTGTATGGCAGATGCGGTGCGCCGCGGCAAGGGGTTCCACCTTGTACGTGTTTTTGTGCGACTGTGAGACCCAGGGGCTGGGGAATCTTTTTTTTTTTTCCTACTTTTTTCCCCTTTTATTTTGACAGTGAAAGCCATCACCAGAATGCCTCTACTCCCATGGAAAGTCTCAGTGACTAAAATTAGTTTCCTTTTTTGTGGCCTTGCATTTTGTAAAATGGTGTGTATTAACACTGCATCTGCTTAAACCTTATTTATAACATATGTGTAAAGTGTAAACCTCAGCTATACAACAAACACCCAAGCACCTGCCCACCCAGGTGGCCTAAAGGCAGGACCTCCTGGGTCCTCAGAACACCTCCCTCCCCCAGGAGACTTTTCCTAATCCGGTCTCCTTCCTGGCTGCCTGCGCCCCATAACCACTCTCCTGATTTATTTCCTGTTCCTTTAAGATGCTGGCCCGTGTACCTGATTCCTTAATGTGTCGTCTGGGGTACATTTCTAAAAACATTTTTATAAATAGAACTGTAACTAGATATTTTCTTCCGTGACTTGCTCTCCCCCTACAGTGTGTCCCTGAGATTCATCTGTGTCAGTGTGTGTAGCTGTCATTCATTTGTTTGTACTGATATTTTTTTTTATTAATTCTGCTGGCAGCGGTCCCAGGGATGACTTCCTGCCTTTTGCTATTTTGAACAGTGCTGCTGTGACCATTCTTCTAACTCTCTCCTGGTGCAGGGAGATGCGTTTTTCCCAATTTATCACTTTGACCAAATTGACACCGAGATGGATTTGTTTTTGAGGAAATTGCTTCTCCTCAAACCTCCTGGAACCCTGTGGTCATTGCTGGGGTGGGGGACCTGGGGCTGGGGCAGCTGGGAAGGGACAGGGTCTCCCCTGGGCTCCAAGCCAGGTTTTATTTTAATGCCAGGAGAGTGACTGAGAGCAGGGGACTCCGGTGCCTTCGCCTGCCGTTTACTCACAGTGGGCATCCCCTCTCTAGGCCTCAGGGTCCTCATGTGTGCGGTGGGGACACTTCCAGAAGCTGCCTCATGGGGCGCTGTGAAGACTAGAGGGGCATGATGATGTCAAGCGCCTGGCACACAGTGGCCGCTTGACAGCGGCCGTCATTCTTGCCAGGCCCTCTTCCCCACCTGACCTGCTCCTTTGCAGACTAACTGGGAAAGGCCCGGTCCCTTCCCTTAGGGGCACCCCTTGTCCCCTTCCAAAAGGTTGGAACTCTGACAAGAGGTGAGCTTTCTCTTCTAGGTACCTGCAAACCTTATGTCATTTGAATAAGTCTCTGCAGGACTTGGCGCGACTTCAGAGGCTTCTGGAAGCCCAGCCTGGGACTGGTGGTGAAGCGCACGTCCTGGGCACAGGCTTTTGGCCAGGGTGCTTGGTGACTCACAGCCGGACTCACGGGGACTCGGCCTGTGGCCTCACGGTCCAGAGGGCTCTGCCAGTGCAGGGTCCACCTGCCAGTCCCCAGCGACTCTCATACACTCATTCTTCAGCGCCACCCCGCAGGGCCGTGGTTGGGCCCCAGGCTGTGTACCCCGCCCTCCCTCTCTGGGCCCTCGTCCGTCCACCAGCTGCTGCTTCGATTAGAGAGCATCCGGCCCACGTTGGGTCCCCCGTGCTTTCTCCTGCACAAGAGCGGACAATGTTCACCTGCATGAGGGGCCAGAGAGAAGGAACAGGCTACGGAGTTGGCTTTTTATACCCCAAGTGCACGGGGCCGCTCGCCCACAGGGCTGCCTCGGATTTTGTACAACCCACCCCCCCAAGCGTCCTCTGCGTGTGCGTGCCGTGTACGTGTGCGTGGGAGTGAGTGTGAACTCTTCGAGAAACATGCATTTTGGCACAAGACGTGTGACATCACACCCTTCATTCGCTTTGAGGCCCTGCTTTAACCTTACGTGATAGCCTTGTCCACCGAGGAAGGTCAGAGAGAGAGCCCAGATTCCTCCTATGTTAAGGGTCCCGTGCATTCTTTTACTGTAAACAAACAATGCCTTAAATTGTGTCTTGTTTTCTGTTCCTATGGGTGCTATTCATCTGGAAGGCCTGCTGTCTGGGCCCCGGGGTCCCTTCCAGGCCTTGTTGCTGTTGGCTCTTCTGAGATAGGACCCGGCTTTAGGACTGTGGACTGGGCTGGCCTGCTCGCTTCCTCCCACCCCTCTCCTGCAGGGTCTGAAAGCCCCTGTCTTCTCCCCCCGGACCGTGCCAGAGGGGGAGGTTGTGACACTTTCTCCCAGCTCCCTCAGAGGCACTCGGAGGCCACCGTGCTCACAGAGAACAGCTGCACAGAAGGCGCTGTGCACCAGCCTCTCCCGCGGGCCAAGGCTTTGCGCCCGTCATCTACTGCCAGGGCGGCGCCCGCTGGGGTTCCTGGTTACGCCGGGGAGCTGAGTGACACTGAGGCCTTAAGCTCCCCCAGTCTTGCCCCCCAATGCAGTCACCAGCAAGTTCTCCACATCCAAGTCCAAGGGCACAATGGTTGATCATGGTGACAAGAGAGCCAAGCCCTGGGGGGTGAATGGTCCCAGCTCTGCATTCAGTTGAGAGCTCTTCACACGAACAACGTCCTTTTATCTGTCACTGTTTGTCTTATTTTTAAGTGACTTTTATTTTGCACAAATACATTTTTATTCAAAATAATGAATAAAAGTTAGCTTTATTTATGGTAGCTTTATCACCACAGCTTCTCTCTCCCCTTCCCTGACTAATCTGGGTGTCCAAATTCTGAGGAGGAGCCCCTTGAAATGGTTTCCTGTATCCCCTGGGTCCTCGTTGCTATCATGTTTCAGAGCTCACATCAGACCAGGCATCAAACCCCGTTAAGAGTTTCTGGGCAAGATGCTCCAAAACAACATCTCACCCAGTAAACGCTGACAGGTGAATTTAAAAACTACCAAAGGACCCACCACTGTCTTTTGACCAAATGGTGACAACTTTTCTGAAAATCCCAGTAGTTGCCATCGGCATCTTATTTTATGGTCAAGGCTTAGTGTGCTCAGTAACTAACCCTCCTTTGGAGCAAAGTCTAGAATACTTCTGTACCCGGAGAGACTCCAGATGGTAAAGTTGGTACCGTCCAACCTTAGCCGTGAGCACTCCGCCCACGGGCACGCAGCCGGGGTCTGGACACGCACGCCTAAGTCATACCGATGGCCACTCAAATTAGCATCTAGAGGCTGAAACAAAACACCAAACACTCCAACACCTCTCACCAGAACCATTCAGGTTAACGCTTCAACCTACATTGAATCTGATTCTACCTGTTAAGATTTTTTAAGTCTTAAGTTTGGATGGAAGCGTAAGACTGGCAAAATCAGCCACTTACTTTCCTTGGGTTTCTCCACTCTTCAACTGTCCTGGCTCTTCTCACATGAAATGCTACAGATATCAATCCAAGACCCTCAGAATTTCAGGCTCCACTAAATCAGATCATTTTCTGCGCTTATAAAATTTTCTCCTCTTTCACAAACGTTTCCTCCTGAGCTGAATCTGAAATAGCACAATTGCACTTGTTTTCAAAATGTCTTGTCTTCTCACCCATTGAGATGGACCCCCCAGCCCCTCCTAGAAACATTCTTAGCTTGGATTCTTGAAGAATCTGCTTAGAGCTTGTTGGCAAAGGCCTTTAGGACTGGTAAGAACCTTGAACATACGGGAAAAGTCCTGGAGACAGGCTGAAAGGCGCCCGGGCTCTCCCAGCAGGGACGCGGGGCCAAGCATGTAAGCACTGATCGCCTTCCCAGCATTGGTTTATCCCTCAAGCAGCAGGTGAGGAGGCCCTCGGGCTGGGACAGAGGAGGCCAGACACAAACCCGTAAAGGAAGAAGTCCATGGGTGGATTCTCACCCTGGAGGGAAACGTTTCTGGTTTTTGCTCCGTGACTGTCCATAACGCACAAATGTTTGTGAGACCATTAAAGGTGATATGTCTTGCATGCAGATGCTGGATTTTTTTTTTTTTTTTTTACCAAATAGATCATGGCACCCCAGAATGAAAATTAGAGTGCTTTCTACAAATTGTGGAATAGGTAGTTGGTATCATTACGATGCCCCCCAAGAACAGCTCATCTACCTCTCCCTGGGAATAATTTTCGCTCCTCTTGGTTGGAATGTGTCTTATAACTCAAAGTCAGCCAAGTGCATTCTGACAACCAAAATGCTTCATGGAGGATTGCTTCAGTGGGGAGCAGTAGAAATGATATTCTGAGTGTGCCCAGTGAGAGTGTGGTCTCCCTTTCCTTCCCTGCAGAAGACCATTCGTCACCCATTCATGAAACCTAAAGAGGAAGATACTTGAAGGCGTTCTGTTTAGGGAAGAACCCACTCTCTCTTGCCAACTGAATTTATAAAGCATTATTTTCCTCACCAAGATGGCCAGTATTTCTTTCGTTATCTTCCTCTCCCACCTCCCAAGCCCAAGATGTGTATCTTTTAAGATGCCATTTTACAGGTGGAAAACAATCCATGAAAATGGGAAGCCTTCCGCAAGCGAGGTCTGATTTCATCCCACAGGTAGGGTGTACAGCTCTACACCCACATTACTGATGCTTACAACAAGGTGAACATTGCTGAAAACACAACCTACCTTATTTTGTGTGACTTCATAAATGACTTTAATCAGCCCTAAATTATACTGACATGTTGGGTGATTTCATACATTAAAAAGAGAAAAAAAAAAAAAACCCCGACAAGAATCTCTTTGAAATAACATTCTCTGCACCAAACCACTCATTCATTCATTCATTTATTCATTCATTCACATCTCCAGTGAGTGCTTCCTGTGTGCCAGGCTCTACCCGGGATATACTGTAAATGGCTGAGAACAAGCAGACCCAATCCTTGCCCTCATGGAGCTGACCACTCAATGAACAAATAATCCTCAACATAGCATCTCGTCTGGCAAGACCCTGCCTCTCTCCTAACACTGGGTTAGAAACCCTGTGCAGATTCCTCCAGAAAGGTCTCAAAATGCTCAGCAGACTGGACAGCCTCTTGATCTGTGAGTTCGGCTGCAGCGAGAACTAGATGGTGTCATCATCCGAGAGGCTGGTTGGTGCAAACACCCAGGCACAGAGCTATGGTTGGGCAGGCTGCGGACTTCTTGAGGTGGAATGGGAGAGACGGATCAGAATATTCACAGTATTTACTTCAGAGGCTTTTTGGTTTTCAATTTCATGGTCAAATGCAAGGACGGCATGAGCGAGAGCTGCATTTTTTGGGTGTTGAGAACTTGTACCACGGACCGCGTCAGAGTCCTGAGCCGCACAAGTGCGTGTACGCTGTGCACAACTCCCAAACCCCTGTTTGCAGCAGCAACGCGACGGGTCGTCCGTCTGTTCTATAATCGTTCATCTCCTTCATTTCTGAACGACTGTGCCCATTCGGCAATGAAATATTAGTAATTAATTTATTAGTACAGTATGATCTTTAATAAATTTCGTGCCAAAATGCATGGTTTTTCAATTAGCATTCAAAATGTTGTGTAGAGAGTAGTTTTCAATTTCTTATGTATTCTTCAAAGTAAGTTGAAAATCAGTTTCTACATTTTAATTCGTTTCTTGTTAAATCTGTTGCACTCTCCTGGGCTGTCTTTTTTTTTTTTTTTCCCCTCCCCAGCAGAACCCCTGCATGCAGTTGTATCAGACTTTCTCTTCTACTTGTGAATTGTCTCACCCGCAGTAACCACTGAACATCGGCCCCCCTGTGGGATTCTTTAGATTTTTGGTGAAGTATTTTGTTACCTCAGTCTTGTATCAAGTTGCTGTATTTTTCAGCTGGTTACACTGATAATAATTGTTTCACTAATTAAATACTTTAATGTACAAACATCTTTGTTTACTTTGAAATTAAATGTGTTTTCCAATGAACATTGCTCAATTTGTTAATCACGTGCATTCACTTAGCAAAGCGTTGCTGTTGCCAGATACAGACGTGAAGGAGGTCTGGGACACTCAGAGCCCTGTTTGGAGGTTACTAGAACATAAATGATATGCGGAGCGGTGCCCTCAGGAAGGGGCAGAGTCTGTGCTTTGGGCACTCAGAGAGGGAGGTGGGGGATCTGGGGAGGGGACGGGGGCATTTGGGGATTCATTTCAGAGACTGCTGAACACATGGAGGACGGGGGAGGCAGGAAGACAGAAAGGAGGAGAAGGATGAAGTTGGGAAAAGCAGCCAACCCAGTCTCACTGAGTGAAGGATTTGGGAGAGGCAATGATTCAGGTCTGAAAAGATCGGTAAGGGGGAGTTTAGGATGTGAGGCAAAAACCAGAAGCCCACTGCAGCTTGCTTAAGAACGGGGGGGGGGGGGGTGCTGACTTGCAAGGCTGTTTCATGGAAACATATGGGGGGACCAAAGTGGGGTCTCAAGGGATTGGAAGGAAGAGTGGAAAGCCGCCTACATCTTTCTCCCCTTCCTTCTCTATGCAGATTGGCTTCTCTGCTGGAATGTGCAGCAGCAGAGTCCAGGCACTACAGGGAAAGCAGCAGGAAAGTCGAGGGAGTGTGTGCCCGTGACATGATCCAAACTGATCATGGGAGCGCCCCCCACCCCGCTCTGCCTGCCTCAGTTTCCCAGTTTGTGGCTTCCAAAGCTGCAGCGGCTGCCCCTCCAAGTACAGGCTCCCCTCCCCACCCCCCCCACCCCCACTCCTCAGGCTCTGCTCCACCACCCCAGCACAGACACACCTCCCTCGCCACGACACGCCCTGACTGCTGAGGGGCCGTAGCTTACCTCTTCATGATTCAGACGGCACAGTGACCCGCAACCTTACCCAGGTGGGGTCGCTGGGCTCAGCCCCAGGGCAGTGCTCCAGAGCTCTGAGACGGATGCATCTGATCTGGAGAGGAGGTGAGGACGGTGGGGTACGGGGGTTGTCACACAGCCGGGAAGCGTTCATCACATCCAGTCAAAACTTGAACCCACAACTGGTCTCTGCAAAATTCCAACCCCTCATCCTCATTGCATCAGGCGCCACAAACGGCCACCAGGAGACAGCAGTACC